GGAAGGGCTTGGGGCTGAGACTCGCTCCTTGGCCCGGGGTGTCCGGGCTCTGCGGCTCCTCGGGGCTCAGCAGGGGGCCGTGGGTGTGCTGAGCAGTGTGTCCGTGTGTCCACGAATGTAGTTACTGCCCCGCCCTCCTTCCCTGCACCTGCCTCCTCTCCGGCTGCGGCCTGTCTGCCCTTGGGAGCTGCACCAACCCGGGAAGGCCCAGGGTGAAGGCCTCACTGGCTTTTGCAGAGTGAGCGTCACAGTCTGCAGTCCCAGGGTGGCGTCGCCCTTGGGTGTCCAGACAGAGAGGCCTCCCGTTTGTCCAATTTTCCACATTCGAGTGTTGAGTATCTAGAGATCTGTCCACTTGCTGACCAACCAATGACTCCGACGGCCCTTCTTACCCTCAGGTGCTGGGGTTACTGCCACGTACGGGAGCTTCAATTATGTGTCATGTCACCATCTGAGAGACACTTCCAAAGCCCCCGAGTGAGGGGTGGGGCCTTGTGACAGGCACAGGTCTGGGTGCCGCCTCCCTGCTTTGTCCCCCCAGCTGCTACTTGGGACTGGGGCGAGTGGGGGTGCCCTCCTCTGTCACCAGGGCACAGGTTTGCTAGCATTGGAGTCTGTGTGTCTGGCAAAGCCGTCCCGGCGCATGGGAGCTGAGACCCCTGCCCCTCCCACGGGAGGCACACCCGAGACCCCACAGGGCGTGGTCTTCTGGGGGTGCTGAGCATCTCCAGGACTCCCAGTCTGCTCAGCCCCGAGGGGGCGCTGGCACGTCGGCCACATGGTCGGTGGAAGTGCTGTCTGCACCACAGACCGTCCCCGAGTGCAGCCGCGGGGGACAGTGAAGGCAGGGTGCGGCCCCCTGACCAAGGTGCCGGCCTTGCAGACCGTCCAGGACGGCCGTCAGTTTCTGAAGTATGTGGACCCGAGGCTGGGGGTCCCTCTGCCGGAGAGGGACTATGGGGGGAACTGCCTCATCTACGATGCGGAGAACAAGACGGACCCCTTCCACAACGTCTGGGTGAGGACCCGCCGGAGGGTGGGGCGGGGCCCGGGTGCTGTGTGGAGGGGTCCCCTGTGCTGGGTGTTCCTGGCACCCGTGTCCCCGCATGGCGAGGCGGACCCCCACGGGAGGGGCACCCTGCCGTCCTCTGGGATAGGGAATGCCATCCACACACACCACGACACTTGTGCACGAGACCTTGGGTCATCGCTGGGTCCTGGGGGTGGGGGAGTGGCAGCGGCAGTGAGCGGCTGCTGGGGAGGTCGGCCCCGGGGGCCCGGAGGACTGCGGGCTGCGGGGCTGCCCGGGGCAGGGCGCGTGCAAGGCCCATGTTCGGCTCCCGCCCGCAGGACAAGCTGGACGGCTTCGTGCCTGCGCACTTCATCGGCTGGTACCTGAAGGTAAGGCGAGCCCGCCGGCAGCAGGCGCCCGGTTCACAGCTGGCCTGTCCTCCGGGGCCACTGCTGCTTGCCCTGCAGTGTGGGCTGAGCTGTGGGAGGCCTGGGGGCCACAGCTTGGCCTGAGCCCGCGGTGCAGAGGGCTCGTGAGGCTGCCTGGGAGCCGTGGGTGGGGTCCCCACGCACCCGGCCTTGCCATCTGGTGGCTGGGAGGACATCGGAGAGACCCCGAGGCCTCTGACGGGCCGCACGCGCCCACAGACCCTCATGATCCGGGACTGGTGGGCGTGCACGGTGGTGAGCGTCATGTTCGAGTTCCTGGAGTACAGCCTGGAGCACCAACTGCCCAACTTCAGCGAGTGCTGGTGGGACCACGTAGGTCGCAGGGTGAGGGGCAGGGTGGGGGGGCTTGACCCGGGCCTGTCCCCGCACTCAGGGAGGGGGATGTGGGTGCAGGGTCCCCTGGGGGGGCCGGACGGAGCTGCAGGGCCCACGGCGCCTGCTCCCCCCAGTGGATCATGGACGTGCTGGTCTGCAACGGGCTGGGCATCTACTGCGGCATGAAGACCCTCGAGTGGCTGTCCCTGAAGACGTACAAGTGGCAGGGCCTCTGGAACATTCCGACCTACAAGTACGTCTCCCGAGCGCCCCACTCCAGGGGCCCTGGGCATCAGCGTGGATCCTGGAGGGGGCCCCTGGGCAGCCTGTGGGGACCCCGCCAAGGCCCTCACAGTGGCCGGGCGTCCGCCAGCCCCATCTGACCAGCATTTTCTCCCCAAAGGCCCTCCAGGGGGGCCCTTCAGAGCGTTTGCCGGCTCTGTCCTGTTCACTTTGATTTCAAGAGGGAAACGGCTCTGGAAAAGACCTGGGGGGCTGCTGGGGAGTGGGGTCTCCTCTCCCACCCGTCATGGTGCCTGAGGGCAGGTCATGGGACCAGACCCTGCTGACCCCCCCATCCCCCGGCTCCAGGGGCAAGATGAAGAGGATTGCTTTCCAGTTCACGCCCTACAGCTGGGTCCGCTTCGAATGGAAGCCGGCCTCCAGCCTGCGCCGCTGGTTGGCCGTGTGCGGCATCATCCTGGTGGTAAGGCCAGCAGCTTCCTGCGCGCGCCCACCGGGCATGGGGCTCGCCGCCCACCCTCCTGCCCGCAGTTTCTGTTGGCAGAGCTGAACACGTTCTACCTGAAGTTCGTGCTATGGCTTCCCCCTGAGCACTACCTGGTCTTGCTGCGGCTGGTGTTCCTGGTGAACGTGGGCGGCGTGGCCATGCGGGAGATCTACGACTTCATGGACGACCCGTGAGACTCGGGCTGGGGCGGCAGGTGGGGCTGGCGGGTCAGGGCGCCCTTCCCCACGTGCTCCCCCCCACCCCACAGGAAGCCGCACAAGAAGCTGGGCCAGCAGGCCTGGCTGGTGGCCGCCATCACCGCCACGGAGCTGCTCATCGTGGTCAAGTACGACCCACACACGCTCACGCTGTCCCTGCCCTTCTACATCACCCAGTGCTGGACGCTCGGCTCCGTGCTCGTGCTCACCTGGACCGTCTGGCGCTTCTTCCTGCGGTGAGGGCCGCCACCCCAGGGTGGGGGACACTGGCACCGGGGTCTTGGGGGTTCTGTGCTCCCTGCCTCAGCCACGCAGGGTGGGCTCAGAGGCCTCTGCCAGCTGCTGGGTGACACACCGCCCCTCCCCCCAGGGACATCACCCTGCGGTACAAGGAAACCCGGCGGCAGAAGCAGCAGGGCAGCAGCGACCAGGGCACCGCTGTGGACAGCAAGGACGGGTGCCCACCTGGGCCCTCCGAGGCCCCAAGGGCAGTGACGCAGGCTCTGCACTGACCTGCCCGCCCACCAGGGACCAGGCCCGCTGTCCCTCCTCCTTTGGTTGCCGCCAGGAGCCTCTGCCGGCCTCTCTGCTCCAGCTCACAGCCTGCTCCGAAGGGGGCAGGGGGGGCCCTGTCCTGGCTGGTGTGCACGTCTGTGCTCTGTGCTTCTGGCTCCAGAGGCTGCTCAGGCTGGCAGGCAGGGCTGGTGCTTGTCCTGGGGCAGCGGTCCGCTGTCTGCACGGTCAGCCTCTGGGCCCTGCCAAGCCCTGGCACCCAGAGGGCATGGCCCGTAGCGCTGCTGGCCCCTGCTGCGCCCCCGGCCACGTGTCACTGGCATGACCCTCCGACTCCCGAGACGACCAAGACGGATGGGTCTGAACTGTGGCCCTGAGCCGTCCTCTCAGGACCCTTCCCTCCAGCCCTGCCGACCAGAAAAGGGTGTGGACAGAGGAAGAGGTCTCCGGGCAGGCATTGGGTCAGAAACTCCAAGGCCCAGTGCCCACGGTCACAAGTAAGGGTCCTGAGGTTTCTGGCCACAAGCTGATGGTCATCTCCACGAGCAAAAGGAACAAATAAACCCGCGGTGGTCTGAGGTTTGCATCCTCGCTGTCCACAGCCTTCACCGTGCCTGCCGCTCGGGGGATGGTGCCCAGAGGGGTGGGAGTCGGGGGGCAGGGCTGCTCAACTGGGCACAGGGTCACCTGGTCTGCTGGCTCAAGCCGCTGGGGACCTGTGGGGACAGGGTGGGGAATGGTTGTGATTGGGGGGTGACTGGTGACGGACCCTGGAAATTCAAACAGACGAGAAGTGCCGAGTCCCCTGGCCCCACCCCAGCTGCGAGGGCCCTCCTGCCCCTACTCACTGCGAACCAGGGCAGGGCCTGCTCTGCCTCCGAAGGCCCTGCACTCCGGGGACTGCGGTTTGCTCAGGTGTGTGGTTTTCTGTCCACTGCCCCTTGGGGGGACTTCAGACCTAGAGGAGCATCCACGTGCCCCTCCCCACCCCTGCAGGCTGCAGACATGACGGAGGTCTGCCTCGTTGAGCCCACCCATCCTGTTCCCAGTGCTGGTGGGCCGGCCCTCCCTGTGGGGGTGTCCAGCCTCTGCTGGCAGAGGGGCCACTGCACCCTGCTCCGCTCGTCCCTGAGTGGGCTTTGCTCCACCAGCACCTCAGGGATTCGAGGTGCCCCACGGTGCTGATGCCTGAGGCAGGGGTGCCTCGTGGGCTGGTGCTCACGGCCACTCCTTTGGGTCCCGGGCCCAGCCTCCAGGTCCCTGAGCTCTCCAGGCTCACCTTGTACAGATGCAGCCCAGAGCGGGCTGCCTTTCCTGCAGGGAGCCCTGTGTCCTCAGTGGGGAGGGGCGGGGTCCTGGGCAGAAGCCAAGGGCTGGGGCACCATAGCTGCTGTGGGCTGTGCACACCCCCATACTGTGCTGGGGGGGGGGGCTGCCCTCAACATCTAGAAGGCTGGGAGCTCTGTCAGCTGGACTGGGTCTAGCAGTCCCGAGGCTGGAGGTGCATGTGGCCCGGGGCCAACTCCCACTGGGGCTGTTGGGCCAGCTGGTGAACAGGGACACGGAGACCTCTGGCCATGGCTGGGCCAGGCATCTCGGGGCGGGCCCCACCCTGGTGGCAGCGGGGCCACGCCCGCCAGGCCCAGTGGCACTAACTTGTTCCAAGCTGCCCAGTGTGGTGCGTGAGGCAGTTCGCATCCACAGAGGCGTCGTACCTGCAATACGGGTTCTCTGGGGGTCCCTACAAGGAAGGACAAGGACCCTTCTGCTCAAAAAGTACTTTAATAACTATGAAGCGTCTAAAACGTGCTCAGACGTGAGCATTTCTCTTCAGTAAAGCCAAGGCACCAGGAATGAGCGCCCCCGGGAGCCGGCCGGTCCCGCGGTCTTGGAGCCCCTCGGGCGGGACTCAGCAGATGATCTTCAGGCTCGGCCTCTTCTCCGCCAGGGCCTGCAGGCGGTCGTCCGTCTCCTCCGTCCAGTAGATGTCGTACAGGCTGCACGGGGCAGAGGGGTGTGGGCCACCGTGCACCCGGCCCCCGGCCCCTCCCGCCGCCCTGGCCACCACACCACTTACACCAGCTTCTCCAGGACGCAGCTGGGCTGCTGGGCGCTCTCGGCCAGCGTCAGGACGCCCACGTCGCTCATGCAGTTGTTGCTGAGGTCCAGCTCCTGCAGGCTGCGGCTGGCCAGCAGGAGTGAGGCCAGGTTGCTGCAGCTCTTGTCGGTCACCTCGCAGTCCCCCAGCCTGGGCGGAGAGCAGGGCAGAAGTCAGGACAAAGAGCATGCCCCTGGCTGCTGCCACCTGGTTGAGTGACCTGGGCCTGTGCCACCAGCAGAACACAGGACGGCGGGGGTAGTGCACACACGTCAAGGCCCCAGTGTCAGCCCTGGCTGCTGTGGCTCAGTGGACTGAGCGCTGGCCTGCGAAACCAAAGGGTCGCTGGCTCTACTCCCATCAGGGCACATGCCAGGGTCGTGGCCAGGTTCCCTGGGGACAGCAGAGACAGAAGGTGCAGAGAAGGGACAGTCAGGCTGGTCCGAGAGACCTGGCAGCGGCCAGCGCTCCGGTCAAAAATAAAACACTGCCCCCGGCCTGGTGCTGTCAGCGTCACCACGGGTGGGGGTGGGGCTGCAAGGGGTCGGGACCCGACGGAGGGCGCCGAGCCCTGCAGCGACGCACGCTCACCAGAGCGCCCGCAGCGGCACGCCGGGCTGGCTGAGTCCGCGGCACAGCTCGCCCACGCCCGCGTCCTCCAGCCTGTTGTTGCTCAGCTGCAGCTCCTGGAGGCTCTTGTTCTGTGCCAGCATCGCGCTGACGTGCGCACAGCAGGCGGCTGTGAGGCTGCAGGACTTCACCCTGAGGGACACGGGGCACTGCTGTGGCCAGGCTCTGGCACCCCAGTGTCCCCCCACAGCCCTGCCCACCAAGGACACTTGGGGCCTTTCTGCCTCTCACGCCCAGGGCAGCCACACGTCCTGGCCCTCGACCCCCAGCCCCCTCCCGCCACGGCCACGGGGCTGCAGGCCCCTCGGGTGCCTTCACCCCGCACACACCGCCTGTGCCCCCTGCCGCCGCTGGGCACTCACCACAGGGACTCCAGGCGGCAGTGCGGCTCCAGCAGGCTCTCACACAGCAGCCGGACGCCCTCGTCCCCCACCGGGTTGCCGGCCACGCTGAACTCCCTCAGGCTCTCCTTGGCCCTGAGGACTCGGCAGAGGTCCCTGCAGCCGTTGGCCGTGATGTCACACTCCCAGAGCCTGCGGGGCCAGGGCCACATCATTACGGGGCCAGCGAGGCGGTGCCCACCCCACCCGGCCACGACGGTGGCCTCGGACTCGCAGGCACAGCACCGGCAGCCCCTGCGCCCACCCGCCCAGAGTCCGACTCACCACAGGGTCTTGAGCTGGCAGCCTGGGCTCAGCAGCCCAGGACACAGCGCTGCCACGCCCGCATCCCCCAGCCTGTTGTCACCCAGCTCCAGGTTGCGCAGCGAGGCCTTGGCCACCAGGAGGCCACACAGGTCCTGACAGTTGGCTGAGGTGAGGCCGCAGCTCTCCAGCCTGGGGGACAGGGGGTGCTGTGGGAGCCAGGAGACCCCCACCCAGCACCAGGCGCCCCACCCAGCGCAGCGCCCGCCCCACCCAGGCCAGTGCTCACTTGAGTGACTCCAGCAGGCAGGCAGAGTCCACCAGGGCCTGGCACAGGGTCCGGGCGCCGGCCTCCCCGAAGTCATTGTTGTTCAGCACCAGCTCCTTCAGCTCCGGCCTGGCCCTGACCGCTGCAGCCAGGGACTCGCAGCTGGCAGCCGAAAGGCCGCAGTACTGCAGCCTGGGGACAGGCGGGCGGTCAGTCCTCACCCCGGGAGTGCGCCTCCTCCGAGGCCCGTGGACACTGCTGGGCAGCGATGGCATGGCCGAGGCCAAGAGCCATCCCTGCCGAGCCCAGGTAGGTGGACCATCCTGGGGACCACCCACCGGCCCAAGCTCTGGATTCAGTGGACCAGCAGCGAGGCCCGGCCTCCCACCAGCCCCCTGCCCCAGTCACCAGTGTGCCCCTCTGCGCATTTGCAAGCAGGTGCAGGGTCACCAGCCAGCTCCCGGCTCCTTTGAGAGGGTCACGGCCCGAGTCACAGGGGAGCAACACCTGTCCCTGACGGCCCCCTCCTCACACCTCCCTGCAGCTGGCATGGCGCAGGGGCCTGTCCAGTGCAGGCCCGAGGGGCAGGAGAACAGGCAGCTCTGGGACCGGGCAGGGCACACTCACTCCAGACTCTCGATGTGGCACTGAGGGTCCAGGAGTCCTTCACAGAGGAGCTGTAGGCCTTCATCCCCGAGTGGGTTGTAACTGAGGTCCAGCTCACGCAGGGAGGGCGCGGCACGCAGCATGCTGGCCAGGGTCCTGCCACTGGCCTCGGTCAGGCAGCAGCTCTGGAGGCTGTCGGGCCACAAGCCCACAGTCACGGGGAGGCCAGACCCAGGCTGTGGGGCTCTGGGGTCCCCGGGCCGAGGGCAGGACACAGGTGCACAGGAGGGGCCCTGAGGGACCTCAGGGAGCAGGTGGCTGGGTCCCCAGGAGCCTCTCACAGGGGCAGGGGCCCAGGCCCTGCACAAGCAGGGTCGGCCGTGGGGCCCGCAGGGGCTCACCTGAGCTTCTGGACCTTGCAGGTGGGGCTCTGCAGGCCTTGGAGCAGCAGGTGCGTGCCAGCGTCCCCGAGCTCGTTGGAGCAGAGGTTGAGCTCTGTCAGGGCGGCGTTGTCCCGGAGGGCGGAGCTCACGTCCCGGCAGCGCCCCTCTGTGATGCCACAGTCCACCAGCCTACAGGCAGATGCCCAGACGGTCACGCCCACCACGGGTTGTGACCCCCCACAGCAGGTCCTGACTCCATTCACGGGCCAACGACAGGGTGGTTGTGTGCTCCTGGGGCACAGTCAGCGTGTCCAGCGCCCCTCACGTCCCGGAGAGCAGGGCCCTCAGGAGCACAGCCAGGGTGTGACATGAGCAGCCAGGTGCACTTGAAACCTGACTGCAGGTGCCCAGGACCCAGACCACCTGCTCTCGAGGGACATCAGAGAAGCCCTGGGGGCGACTGTGACAAATGTGCACAGGGTGGGGAGTGAGGAGTGCCAGCAAGGGCCCTGGCCGGGCAGCTCAGTCAGTTGGAGCGTGTTCCGTGCCCCAGAAGGCTGCAGGTTCGATTCCAGGTCAGGGCACCTGTGCCTGTGAGAGGCAGCTGGTCGATGCCTCTGTCTCCTGCTCTCTCTAAAACCGACGAAACATCCTCAGGTGAGGATTTGTAAAAGTTCTCGGTAAAGCAAAGGCCCAGTCTCGACCACTGGGACGGGACCCGAGAAGGGCGCCCCAGGCAGAAGGCGGCGCTGCAGAGGCCGGGTGTGAGCAGTGTCTGGTCCGTCACCTGAGGTGGCTGCTGGCGACCCAGGGAGAAGCGGGGGCTTTTTTATGTGTTTTCTTTTTTTCCTGGGACTTTTAAATTTAATTTAGAGAGAGGGGAAGAGAGGCAGAGAAACGTCTACACGTGGCTGCCTCCTGCATGGGCCCTACTGGGGACCCGGCCCACAGCCCAGGCACGAAATTCCAAAACTGCCCCGGAATCGCATGAGACCAGGACCTTTGGGTTGCAGGCCGGCACTCAGCCCGCTGAGCCACAGCAGCCAGGGCAGTTTGCTTCGTTTTTGTTTCTTTTTCAATGAAACGACTTCTTTGCTTAGCCGTGCTGGTGAAAACGCCCCCCAGGCTGCAGACTGCCGCAGTCCCATTGTGCCCTCACACAGTGAAGGGACAGGGACTTCACAGAACAGAACCAGCGCACACACCGCCTGAGCGGAGGCCACAGGGACGACTGGGGCGCCCTCGCGACCACACGCCCCTCGGGACGCACCGTCATTTCTGTGTGTGCTTGCCAAAAATGTGTTACTGGACGTCCGGCCAAGATGGAGGCGTAGATGGAAACTGCCTCCTCGCACAACCAAGTTTAAAGACAACAAAGTTTTAGTAACAAAAACGCAACCAAAACACGGAAAATTGAACTGTATGGAAGTCCGACAACAATAGACCATTCAGCCAGACTGGTAAGAGGGGTGGAGCCAGCGGCTGGCGGACTGAGTGGGCAAGAAAAGGCGGCAGGACCAACCCAGGCGCGCAGGCAGCGGTTGGGGGATCCCAGGTGTGGAGTAGCAGTGGGTGGACCCAGTGAGGGCGCAGGACAGCAGGCTGACCATGGTCACACATTCACGCACAGATAAACCAGGCAGAGGCGTGAGCAGTGAGACAGAGCCTGCAACCCAGGGCCCCAGTGACGGGAATTAAAGCCTAAAAGCACCAATTGGAAAAGCTTTTTGGGGGTCGAGGTGCCAGGAGAGGCCCCCAGGCTCACAGAGTTTGTTGGAGAGACCCACAGGGTCCTGGAGGGTGCACAGGCCCACACACCCGGGAAACAGCACCAGAAGGGCCCAATTTGCTTGTGGGAAGCAGCAGAGGAGACCGAAATCCGAGAGCAAAACAAATGCCATTGCCCCTCTCTGACCCAGTCCCCACATACAGCGTCACAACCCAGCAACTGGGTTGCCCTGCCCTGGTGAACATCTAAGGCTCCACCCCTCATACATAACAGGCCGAACAGACCAAGACATTATGGCTCAAGAAGAACAGCTCAGAGCCCCAGAGCCAATACTTCTAAGTGACAAAGAAACAGCCAACCTATCAGATGCACAGTTCAAAACACTGGTGATCAGGTTGCTCACAGAACTGGTTGATTTTAGTCACAAATTAGAGGAACATATGAAGGCTAAACTAAGTGAAATGAAGGGAAATGCACAGGAAACCAATAGTGATGGAAAGGAAACTGGGACTCAAATCAAGGGAGTGGACCAGAAGGAGGAAAAAAATGACCAAACAGAAAAGAATGAAGAAACAAGAATTCAAAAAAAAAATGAGGAGAGGCTTAGGAACCTCCAGGACATCTTTAAACGTTCCAACATCCAAATTATAGGGGTACCAGAAGGAGAAGAGGAAGAAAAACAAGTGGTAAACTTATTCGAATGATTAATAAAGGAGAATTTCCCCAATCTGGCAAAGGCAATAGACTTCCAGGAAATCCAGGAAGCTCAGAGAGTCCCAAAGAAATTGGACCCAAGGAGGAACACACCAAGGCACATCATCATTACATTAGCCAAGATTAAAATGAAAGAGAGAATCCTAGAAGCAGCAAGAGATAAGAGGACAGTCACCTACAAAGGAGTTCCCATCAGACTGTCAGCTGAGTTCTCAAAAGAGACATTACAAGCAAGAAGGGGCTGGAAAGAGGTATTCCAAATCATGAAATCTAAAGACCTACATCCAAGATTGATCTATCCAGCAAAGCTTTCATTTAGAATGGAAGGGCAGATAAAGTGCTTCTCAGATAAGATCAAATTCAAGGAGTTCATCATCACCAAGCCCTTATATGAAACATTAAAGAAACTTATCTAAGAAAAAGAAGATAAAAAAGATGAACAGTGAAAGGACAGCAAACTCACAGTTACTAACAACCACACCTAAAACAAAAGCAAACTGAGTACTGCTAGATCAGGAGCAGAACCATAGAAATGGAGATCACGTGGAGGGTTAGCAATGGGAGTGGGAGGAGGAGAGGTGGGGAGAAGGTACAGAGAATAAGTAGCATAGACGGTAGATAGAAAATAGACAGGGGGAGGGCAAGAATAGTATGGGAAATGTAGAAGCTAAAGAACTTGTGACACATGGACATAAACTACCGGGGTGGGGGGGAGATTGCAGGGGACGGGTGTGCAGGGTGGAGGGGAATGAAGGGGGGGAGTGGAACAACTGTAATGGCATAATCAACAAAATATATTTTAAAAAATGTGTTACTTGGCCAAGACGTCACCAGGACTCTCTCCAGAGCTGAGCTGAACCAAAGAGGGGGACACAAGGACAAAGAAGGAGAGAGGGACCATCCCAGACAGGAGGCGGCCAAATGCCACGCGGGATTCTGCACTGACTGGGACATGAAAGGACACAGTGGGAAAGCTGGTGACGTCCAAGCTGAGGTGGCCGCAGAGGGCTCCTGGTTTTGCCCAGTGCCCCAGGCAATTGGCACTAACTTCAGGGGAAGCAGGGTGGAGGGCGCCCCCCACCCGAGTTGGTAACCCTTCCGTGAACCTACACCTGTCTCAGAACAGTTAGAAAGGCAAGAAGCCGGTAGCCTCCGTGGTGTGAGGACTGAGGGCAGGCTGGGCTCCAGAACCTCAGCAGCAGGCCAGGTCGGGCCGAGGTCAGGCAGCGCCTCTGAGGCGAGGGAGGGACTGTCCCTGAAGAGGGAGCCCCAGAGACCCTGGACAGAGGCTCCACCCACCCGCCTTCAGATTCTCCACCCCAAGAACCGCCCACAGGCATGAGCCAGGAATGGGTTTACATGTTTAAATGTTTGGGGAGAAATACAAGAACATCTTGCACCGTGGGAAACTCATACAGTAGGCGCCGCACATCCACTAGGAAGGTGCTTTCGGAGCCCACGGCGCCCACATGAGGCCCTGCTGGCCACCACCCATGGGGACCCAGCACGCACCTGATCACCTGGCACTGCTGCATCTGAGGCAGGAGCTCCGTCCACCGGGTGTCGCTGAGCTGCTCATAGTGCAGGTCGAGACTCATGGTGAGAGGCAGGTGTGTGCTGGGGGGGGCAGAGGGGCAGCAGGACTCCTCAGCCCAGTCCTCTCACGTCTCAGGAACCAGAGACCCAGCGAAAGACGCCACGGCCTCTCCCCCAGGCGGTGCTGCTTCCTTCCTTCAGCACCTGTCCCCACCTCAGCCCCCAGGAACAAAGATGGGGAGGGCAGAGGGACACTGCACCCGTGGGCTGCCCTGGCAAAGTCACCATGGGCCACAGAGTTTGGGGCCAGGGCTGCGGGGGCAGAGGCTGCACTCACCCCCCAGCCTCCTGCCCCCGCCTGGGAGAGGGCAGGACCTGGGCTTGCCTCCTGAAGCTCCTCCGCCTCATTTGCCCAGGCAAGGACTGGTTGGGAGGGGGAGGCCTGTCGGCCTGGACACAGCGTGGGATGGGCAGTTCACACAGTGCTCTGGAAACTATTCCTGCCTGCTCAACCAGCCTTCCCTCCCAGGCTGGGCCATCCACAAAGCCAAAGACACCCTCACACCCCCAAGATGTGAGGACCCCAGGCCTCACCACCCAAAGCAGCAGCTTGGGAGGGACAGGTGCCTGTAGACAGGTAACACCTCTCTAGGGAGCACTGCTCACGGGTGCCCCAGATAGGACACAGCAGCGGGGGTGGGGACACCAGGCCCAGCTTCTGTGACCCTTTTCTGAGGGCCTGGGACTCCTACGGGCCAGGGCACAGCCTGCCCCACCCTGGACCGGCCTGTGGAGAAGCCGGGCCGTGGGGCAGGCTGGGAAAGAGCGAGGATCTGGCAGCAGATCACAGGCCCTGACACCCCACCAGGGACCAGCCACGCCAGGACAGACGGACAGGGACGGGGAACCAGGAACTTGAGGCCCTGCAGGTGGACCAGCCTCACTGCTGACAGGGCAGGGGGTAGTGCTGGGGCATCTGGGTTCACTCAATAGCAATGAAAAGCCCTGGAAATGATGTGACTGAGCTGCCCTTTAGGTGGGCCTGCCAAGCAAAATGACTCAGCCCCACGTGAGGTTCCGGTTCCCCAAAACCCCGGGATTCCTGAGAACTCAGCCTCACTCAAAACCCCTGCCCTGGGGTTCCTGGGTGTGCTTCCCCGAGAGTGTCTGCACAGGCGCCTGGCACTGCCCGGCCTGGCTGACCCCCCCTCCCTGCTGCCCACAGCTGGTTCAGAGCCCAGGGGGGGCGGGGCAGGCAAAGGCTCTGGTTGCACTACTGCTGACCAACAACCAGCAGGCAAAGGTCCCGCTTGCAGGTCCTGGTAGGTGGGCCTGAAGAAAGGGGGGAGGGTGGCTGTGACTGGCCCTGCCACACAGAGGAGCCAAGAGCCCGCCAACCCACAGCTCAGAGTGTGTGAGCAATCCCAGCCTCCCCCGCTGGGGGGGCAGGGTGTGGTCAGCTAAAAGGGACTCAGAATCCCCCGCCCTGGACAAAGGGGAGAGACAGGGCTGCTGCTTCCCACGCCTGCCAACCTGGAGGGACCACTGTGCCCCTAGCCCCCTGGCTGCTGCCCCAGGCTGCACCCTCTCCAAGAAGCAGCCTGACACCAAGGAGAGCCGTTCACATGTGGTGGTCTGACATTAAGAACAGAGACAGGGTCACCCATTGGCAGACGCTCCCCTGGGCTTCACAGTCACTGGGGTACCCCCTTCGCTGGGCCTTTGGATACTCAGAGAACCCTGTGGAAACGTCCGGCACCCCCCAAAGACGCCCCGTTAAGGTCCCCGATCTAGGGAGGTACGAGCGCGTTTCAGGCTCCCCAGTTGGGCTGCTCCCGAGGGCCCCGAGAGTGGGACCCAGGAGCTGACCAACGCCCCAAAATCAGCACTTTCAAGTGTGACAACAGGCCGCTCAGAGGGACCTGCGCCAGAGCAGGCGCTGGGCTTGGGCCTTCGCTGGGGCGGCGCCCACGGATCGCTTCCATCCGGGCGGGCGCATCCCGGGCCCACCGAGCCCCGAGCTGGCGGCCCGGAACCGTAGGCTACCTCCGTCAGCGCGGGGATGCAGCGGCGGGGGGGGAGGGGGTGTGGAGGTGGCGGTCCGCATCCTGTTCTGTGCGGTCCCTCCAGTAGGTCAGGCGGCGCTCGGCCGCGCAGACGGGGATGCCGACGCCGGCCGCGCCCTTCTTGGGCCGCAGGAAGCGCTCGCGGGGGTCTCCCGAGCTCGTCCGCCCCGCCAGGGGCGCCACGGAAGATCCTCCCCAACCCGACCGGCCGGCTGCGACCCCGGGACCCTCAAACCCACACCTCACCTTGCGCCGCCGCCGCTTTAGCCTGGACACTGCTTCCGCCGGGGATCGGGCTGGGGGCGGGGCCTGGAAGCGGGGCGGAGCCAGGAGGGCGGGGGGCGGGGCGTAGGGAGGGGCGGGCCCGCGAGTTTCCCTGGAGCAGAAACAAAACACCTGAGACGCCTCTCAGCTCCCAGACTGGAGATGAGTAGCTGTGACGCGGGGGGCGGGCGAGGCTGTCCCAAGGTCTCCCGGGCGCCGGTTCGATATGTAAAACGCGCGTGCACCCATTTCTACCCACCCGTCCAGAGCAACCGTGAGCTTAGGCGACAGGTCCCCAGGGTCTTTGTGCAGCATTTTGTAACTGTTCAACCTGGGAACGATCTAAACGTCCATCGGCAGAAAATGGCTGACTAAACAGTTGAAAATGGTTGAATAACACCCGCGATCCGACAGTTAGAAACACCACTCCTGACAGGGAACGGCCATCGGGAGTGCACTACTGGGTTTTTTGAGTACGTGTGGAGACCTGCGAGGGGCGCGCGGCCGCGCAAGGCACGCCCGTGGGCGCCACAGCCGCAGCGAGCGACCGCCTCCCCCGGCCTCGGTGCCCCGGCTGACTCGCACACTTGCGGGAACAGGGGTGCTCCGTGTGCTGTACCGCTCAGGCCGTCATCGACCCAACCAGGTATCGAACACCGATCGTGGGCCGGCCACTGCTACCGGGCTACATCGGTGTGCAGAGCCGGGCCAAGGTCTGAGCCAGCGCCCACGGTACCCAGGCTGGCCGGGGAAGGAAATTTAGAAGTAAACCAACAGTATTTAGATGGTGGAATGTGCCGGAGGGGGTGGGGAATGCACGCCGCCGACCAGGCCTCAGGTTTGTGGCCGCCAGGGGTCCGCACAGTACGCATGGGGGATGAGAACCGTCGGCTCTTTGGGGGGATCAAGTGAGGTGTTACTCGATGTGAGGGAGTATTTGGCTGGGCCGGCCTTCGGTTGTGCATCAAGGGGGCCGGGGCCACGAGTGTGGGGACAGGGGTCCTGGAAAGCACAGGGCTCTTTGGGGGCGCACCGCCAAGGCCCAGACGCCTATAAGCTTCCCCCGGAGCAAGAGCAGATACTTGTCAACTCGACAAGTGTCAAGTGAAAATAGGGGAGCAGGACCACGAGGGCGGCGCTGGGATTCCAGCAAAGGCCACTGCAGCGGGAGGGCGGGCGAGGGGCAGAGCGGGGCTTCTGCGGGCCCTGGCGGGCCTGCATCCAAATTGAACAAGACTTTGTGACTCGAGCACCGTGTGCTCTGGTAGAAAACCAGACAGAGGCAGGAAGGTGAAGGGCCTGGGGCGCCCATCTCCCTGAGGTCAGCGCCCCTTATGCCTCCTCCCGTTTTTCTTTTTTTTATTTTTATTTATTTTAGAGAGTAAGAGAAGGAGAGAAGGAGAGAAGGAGAGAAATACCAATGCATGGTTGCCTCGCATGAGTCCCCTGCTGGGAACTGGCCTGCAACCCAGGCATGTGCCCTGACTGGGAATCGAACCGCCATCGTGTGGTTCGCAGGCACGCACTCAATCCACTGAGCTACACCAGCCAGGGCCCGTTTTTCTAATTCACAACATAAACTGCAAAACTGCCATTCTCCGGAGCGTTTGCTTAATGCACTGAGATTTCAATCCCCAGCACTTGCCAGTCTGGCTCTAATACACGCATAAAAATTCTCCCAGGTTTGGACAATTCTTACCTGGACACCATCCTAGAGGGGGACCTGCCTGGTTCTAAGGTCCTTCCAAGATACTGCTGAACTGCTGTCCTGGAAAGCTGCAGAAGTCCACCAGCTCTCCCCGCACCCGCGTGTCTCCACACCTGCGTGGGCACCTTGTCTGGAGCCTGCCCAATTCTGCAAAGTGTGGGCCCAGTGTTTACATTTCTCCAGTTCTCGTGACACCCCTGGATCAAAGCCCCCCGAGGTGCTGTTGCAGTTACATACTCTCTCCCGAACCCGAGTCGCCGACCCAGAGCCCCCCAGATTCTTGGGTGACCTAACAGGGCAGAGTGGTGGGGCGGGCACATGGCAACGCCCAAGGCCCACTGCCCTGTGGGTCGACCCGGGGAGTCCTCTGCCAGGGCCTGCCTGGGGGCCGGCTCCTTTGGGAATAAGGTAGAGGATTACTCAATTTGGGGGAGAAAACTTGACAAAAACAGCCCTAGCTTGTCCGGCTGGCACGGAGGCAACGAACCAGTTCAAGCCGGCGGACCCCGCTACGGCGCTAGGGCCGAGCCACCGAGAGGTGGACGACGCAAGCGCAGCGCCGCTGCGTTCGCCTCCCCGCGTTTCCTGAAAACAAGACCGATGCGCACGCGCAGGGACGACTCGGGACGCAACTGGAGCTGGGAAGGCCACTAGGCGCGCTGACGTCCTCCTGCCCCCGCGCCCCGCCCCCTGGTGCGCCGCTCCTGGGTCCCCCAACCCCGGCAGTCCCAGCGCGTCCCGCCCCGCCCCGGCGCGCGCGTCTCCTGAGCAGCGTGACCGCAGTAGCTCCTGGAGTGCGTACGCAGGCGGCCCAACCAACGCTGGTGCCGGTAAGGGTTGACCACAGGTCAGCCGTCTGACTGACCTACACACGACAGCGGACTCTCACTAGCCTGACACCAGGAAGGAGCGGCACACTTCCTATAGGGGGAAGGGAGGGCCTAGCTGGACGGTGGTCAGGCCGCCATCCAAACCCTTGGTGGGGGCGTGGTCTGGAGGTGCAGCTGGGGCCTGGTGGGCGGGGCGGGGGAGGGGGGTCCTGCGTTGGGGCGGGGCCAAACCGAGGGGCGGGTGTGTGGGCGTGGTCAATAAGAGGGCGTCGCTGGTGGGCGGGACTATGGGTGGGCTGGGTCTCCCTCGGGCCGGCTCTGGCCTCCACCCACAGCCCAGGCTTTGACCTGGGACGGGTGGAGGGTCCCGTGCGTGGGCAGGCCTCGGACATCCGACGAGGAGAGGACGCTGCCTGGAGCTCGCCTCTCGGGCAGGGTCGGGATGTGAGCCTGGCGATACAGGCTGGGTTCGGTGACTTGGAGCAGAATCTGAGTCAAGGTCTCAATATTCTGCGTGACAGCCCTCTGCTGAGCCTTGACTGCGCCATAGGGCGGGGGACAAACGGACGATGATAGAATGGTGTACAGATAGACACGAAAGAAAGCGTCAAGGTTATTCAAGGCAGCGTTTATGATCTACGGGTAACGTCGTATTGCTCCGGCATTATTGGCGAATGTTGGCAACTGTGCCCCGCGGTGTCGTAGGTGCTGAGGATTCAGGCTTGAGCAGAACAGACGAATCCTGGAGAACTGAGGATGCGTTTGGTGGGTTGTTTCTCTGAAAACGCCTTTGTGTGCCCCCTGTATTTGAAGGACACTTCCACTAGGTATAGAATTGCAGGTGTGCAGTCATTTCTGTCAGCACTCTGAGGACGGCATTCCCTGTCTTGTGGCGCGCACACTTTCCGTCCGTTGGTGCTCCTGTGGGATGGCGTGTCTTCCTGGGTGCATAGGCTGGCTGCTGATAGTATGTGAGGCACAGAAGTTCATTCCTCTGTTTGTATGAGCTCCTCCTGGTCTTGGCAGCAGCCTGATAGGCAGGGGGGTTGTTTTAATACTGTGCTCAGCCTTTTGGTTCTCAGGGAATGGGCCACCTCCCTGTTTTCAAGACTTGGAAGTGCAGCCTGCCAGTGGGGTTTGCACTCGAAGCCCCGGGCCATCTCGGCAATAGGTATTTCTGAGAAACAGATGTGGCTCGCAGTGTCCTGGCATCTGGGAGTTAACTGCCATGGGCTTAGCGGTCAGAGCGGACCAGGCCACAGGCTGAAGTCTACCTATGCCTCACCCTTTTGGGGAGGAGACCAGAAAGGGACAGGAACAGGACTTGCTGGAGCAGTTAATGACACCACTGTGCCAGAGACATTGCACTGGTTTGCTTTTGTAGCTGCAGCCTGCACTACTCCAAGCCGCCCCGTGTTGGGTGCTGCATGCACAGCCAGACCCCTCAGGTCACAGGTGCAGGGCCACTGCCATGGATGTGGGGTGCCTCTTGGAGCCACACAGGGGTCATGTCAGCTCCCCAGCTGGGTACTGGGATGGGAAGGCAGGGCCAGCCAAGCTCCTGTTGGCAGCATTCTGCGGAAGGGGATGGGGGGGCTGAGGGGGAGGAAGCGTCAACAATGACCAAAGCCTTCCAGTGGTGGGTGGTGGGGGCGCCAGGCAAATGGGGCAGGTTCTGGGGAAGATGATGAACTGGCTAAACTGACCCATTCTCTGAGAATTGGAGCTGGAAGGGGCTGTAACGCTGCGGCCATGGGCAGGATGCAAGGAGGAGCTGGGGACTCTGCCAGGCCTCTTGTTCTCCACCCCCACTGATCAGGCCCCTGAGGTGTGGCTAAGCCCACAGAAAGCCCACCCAGTAGGGGCCCTTTGGATCCTGTGCCTTCCTTTCCCCCTCCTCACTCCCTTCCACAGACGCCTGTGCAGCCTGCAGACTGCCCTCCACTCAAGGGCCAGCCCCACTTTTTGAGAAAACTGTAGGTTCACATGAAGCTATAAGAAATAATACAGGGAGGTCTCTGTCCCTCCAGCGACAACCCCCAGTGGCAGCGCCCATCCCCGACAGCTGCATGTGTACAGAGGGCATGGCAGCGAGCCCTCTGAGCCCTGAGCCACCACCCAAACCCACTCCCCCACAGCTGCTGTCTGTGGGCCTAGTGCTCCTCAGACCCTAGGGTGTGAGGACAAGCCTGGTGCGCCTGCTGTCCCCCGAGCCTGTCTGCAAACATGGACACAGGGCCAGCTGGCAAACCCTTTAACCTTGGGCCAACCCACATCTGCCCAGGAAAGCTACCCAGTTGCCCTGACCGGCATAGCCCGGTGGGTTGGGCATTGTCCTGCAAAGTGAAAGGTCGTGGGTTCAATTCCTGGTCAGTGCACAGACCTAGATTGTGGGTTTGGTCCTTGTCGGGCCAGTACAAGAGGCAACTGATCGATGTTTCTCTCACATCAGTGTTTCTGTCCCTTCTTTCTCCCTCTCTTCTCCTCTTTCTAGAATAAATAAAATCTTTTAAAAACAGGCCCATGATCCGAAGACACCTGACAAAGATGATGCACACACACATCCTTGCTGTGCAGCGTGTCAGCAAGCACCCAGCAGACCCGGGAACATGCACAGTGTTCCCATCAGATGCCACTACACACCCACCAGTTGGCCACAGCCCAGTACAGCCTGTGCCTGGAGGATGCGGATGCAGGGCTGCAGGCAGGGGCTGCCACTCACCGCAGGGGGGCGCCGATGGCACGTCTGCTGTGGGGGGCAGCTTCTCCACCCAAAGGGCTCACAGGGTGTCACCCCGCTGACAGTGAACACATGCGTGCATGAAACCTGCATGGAACGCGAACTGTTTCTGATCACTGAAAGCCGGAAGCAGCCAGGTGGCTTTGAAGGTGGACTTCAGCAGGGAAAGGGGGGACTGTGCGAACCCACAAATCGATGAAGAAGAAGAACAATCTGTGGACCCACTCAGTGCAGGATGACCTGACATGGACTTGGATCAGTGAAAGAAGCCAGATCCTCTGTGATTCACTCAGAGGACATTGCTGGAAAAGGCAAACCAAGGGGGGCATGGGGTGGAGCAGAGCAGCAGGGGTCACCAGGGACTGACGGCCCGGGGACAGCCTGGCCCCCATGGGGCACTTCGGGGTGCAGGGGCACTGGCAGCTCCACCTGCTGAAAACCCGAAGACCAAACCTGAATGTGTGCGAGTACTGAAAATAAAAACTGTTGCCATCACACACCCAAGCTGTCGGCACTTCCTTGTGCGTAGACGGTGCTCTCGAGAGTCTCGGACCCCGTGGTGCTCTGAGGACGTCACTGGTGCCCGGCTTTATCGTGAAGTTCAACTGCAGCTCAGAAACTCGTGAAGAGCTCTCTGCAGTTAACGGGGGCTGGGGGGCTAGGGAGCCCTGCTTTCTCTTCCCAGACAGACAGGGAGTCCCAGCAGCACTCCCTGGGGGCAGAGAGCGAAGACGAGAAAGTCTCAGAAATAACCCGAGGGACGGCCCTTGGGTCCTCTGTGTCTTGCTCTGGATTAAGGATGCACGGAGACTAGATGTCATTGAGCCACCCTCTCCTGTCTTGTCCTCAGGGTTTGTCAGACAAACAACACCCACGCCCACTATCCCCTCTCCAGGCAGGAAGCCCTGCTCCTCACGCTGTTGGCCTGTGCCACTGGCTACAACACCGTGTGTACCTGCCTCTGGAGACGGAGCACCTGTGAGCACCCAGGACAGCTCATCGGCGCTGGTGAGCGTGGCTGCTGGTGGGGACCTGAGCCCCCACTGCCAGTCAGGAACTGGCAGGGACACCAGGCCCTATTAACCTGAACCCACCCCCCATGAGAATGCGCCAGACAGAGGCTACGGCTCTCCCTGGTGTGGCGTTCTTCCCAGAACATTCCCTCAGGCGGCAGCAGCTATGAGGCTCGGCTCCGCTATCCTGGCCTGGGCTCAGGGTGCCGTCACCCAGCCTTGGGGAGCCTGTGCCCCCAGAGTACTCCCAGGACAAGGCCTGCAGGGCTCCGGGCTTCGGGGCAGGAGCGGGGCCGCCCAGGAGACTGTCCAGGAAAAGCTGGGCCCCACGTGTTGGAGGGCTATCCTGGCACCCTGTCTCCAGGCACGAACCAGGCCATGGCGTCTGGCTGACTTTCCTAAGCTAGGACGCCTTCTATGCGGCCCACCTGATGACCAGCAGGCACAGCACACATAGTAGGCAGCCAAACAGGCCAAGGAGGGCGTCCCAGAGGAGTTTCCCC